TTGCGTTATTTTTTTTCTTGAGATTGTATATTACTGTGAATATATAGGATAAAGGAAGTCCTAGTCTTAAGAGCTCTGGGTGCTGCCTTAAGGCAAATAAATCATAGTTGCTAAAGATAAATATGGACACAGAAAAGGGGGACAGTGGAGAGAATGTTTATATTCAGTGTTCACATTCAACTAGTTCCTAAAACTTCAGGGTGAAAATCCATTCAGAAATCTATCATAAAGATGAATTTACAGCATCTTTCAGCTTCTCCTTTCTGTAACAAAACCCATTCCTCACAGAATGCAAGACCAGTGCACTCAAAATATCTTTTAATAGAAATATAGCAGAGCAATGTGCCTTCCACAGTGTGTCCAAATAATGCCAATTGCTGTAGCAGTACATTTCATACAGATTTAAGTTCTGGCTGAAATACTATGTCTACCTGGAGTTCTGTCCATAATGTTATGTCTATCTGGAGACAGATGCTTGAAGAAAATGGGCTAAGCTTGATGATAAACTTGCCCCAGCATATTTAGAAGTACTTGTAAATAAGGTATAAATAAAGATATCACGCAGACTTGTTTCAGAATGCCAACCACAAGAATTTCTATGTGCTTCTGAATATCTGAATATTCTGGGCAGCTTTCTCCAGAGGGGAATTTCCTGAGGGAATGTAGTCTCCTGGGTTTCTGTGTGAGGGAGTAGAACTTCGGGGCACCTCACTGTATTGGCATAGGCAGATGATGTGAATCAATGTTCTTGTTCAGCTGCTGATTCTATGCCCCTTTTTTGGTCTGTATGTGCTCATGGCTGTTCCAGCCTTTAGGTTTCAGTGAAGGAGAAATTCTGGTGCTTTGTATCACTACATCAGTACCAGCATGTTTCCAGTGTAGTTGAACTTCAGTTTAAGGAAATGTAGATGTATGGTCTTTAAATAATGGCTCTCTGGATGACTGGACAAGCTCAAGAGACTGGTAATAGTCTATTCAGCTTTTAACTCACAAATACAGGTAATAATGTTCAATCTGGAGATGCCTATTTGGTGGCGTAGAGCTGAGAATCAGTTAAATTCCTCCCATGCCCTTGGTTCTACCTCAGCCAATACTAAAAGGAATATCCTGTAGATGCACAGAAGCCTGACAGATAAGTTGTCTTTTAACTCTCAAAAGCAGAAGGTGAAGATGTGGTTGGAAGCAGCTGGTTTCCTGCTTCAGCTGCAGTATGTGTTTTCTTGATAGAAAAATACCTACTCTTTGAGAATATCCACAATGGAATTTTTACTAGAAAGGCAACGTTTGCTGTTGACCTATATGACATTGCTATTAATTATTCATTGTATATTCAGCTTTGCATATTTTTTTTTAATTGAGAGGCCTCTTCACCTCTCAGTTCATGTGCATAACTCTCAATAAGATGAGTAAGAATGTAGGTGTTATAAAGTGATTGTCAATCTATTTAGCTATCCTTCTCTGACACTGAATTGGGTCCTACATGCTTAGTGTTTATTTGAATTGGACGAAGAGTTTCTGTATATTTATGCTAGTGTTATAGAGGATTAATGCCAGATTTCAGCCGGACACAGTGCTGGAACATCTAGCCCAGGTCATGCTTGCCTAGGAAGGTTGGATCAGATGATCTTTGAGGCCCCCTTCCAACCTGGGATTCTACGAATGTTTTCCGATTTATTTTCTTTTTTCCGTTACCTATTCGTTTAAAGTATTGGGATAATTTGAGAGAAATGTTGGATTTGAGAGAATGGGTCCATATCATATCCATATGATAAAAGGTAAAATAATGGCTTTGGAGTAGACCCAAACTCTGAAGGATGGCTAAGCTTTTTTTCAGCCTTTGGATTGAGATGTATGGTACTTTTCCAACCTTGGTAGCTTAGTCAACAGTTCTGAGACAGAATAAAGCAAAGTGCAGGTCCTATGAATGCGGGAGTTGCCTCCTAAGTGAGAATAAATTCTTGCAAATCACTATTTGAATAGATCAGGGAAGTCAAACAGAATCTGTGCACAACTGGCTCTAGTTAAGATGGTATTTCCTACACTGCCTGCAAGGAATATGTGTGTGTTTGATTTGGACACTTTGTATTGGTAGAAGGGAGTTGTGCATAACAGAAGCCAACACTATTATTCAGTGTTATTAATGATGTTGTCTCCTTGTAGTTTCACAAAAACTAGAAAACTAATAAATTTTACATATTGGAAAAAAAATCACAGATAAATCAAACACATATAAATTTTTTAAAGTATTTAATATGTGTTAAGAGGACAGAATGATGAATTCAATATTGAAAACCAATATCAGGTTTACAATTATGTACCATTTATCATCACTGATTGCACAGACAGCATATTATTGCAGGGAACAGGATGATGCATAAACTAAAACCCTGATTGGTTTTATAAAAAAACAACTCAAAGTTCATGTTATATCTGCAAAGCTTTGTTTTTCAAGCATTATTTTCAATAATAATTTTTTATTCAGATGCAAAATATGCATATTTAATGTCTTGAGCTTTAATATTAAATGTGTAATAATTTCTGAGGGTTGAAAACAGATGCTTTTGCAAACACTAAGATGGTTCAGTGAGCTGCTGTTTTCTGAGGCCCAACCTCCCCTTGAAGAAAAAAGGAATGTACGGAGAATGAAAAAGTGGATAAGGAACTAGTTTTGAATTGGATATGTAGAAGCAAGCAAATAAAAGCAGTAAAAATGCTCTTAGAAGGTGGCTTGACTTTGAAGAGGAAGCATGTCTAAGTGGCTGGTTCTTACTCTCAGCAGATCTCCCAGGGTAAAATTTTGCCTCCCTCAGAAGTCAGTGGCAAAGATACTGGTAACTTTGGTGCTTTCAACCTGGTGTGGTCTGCCTGTACTGAAGGACATACCTGCTCACCTTTATGAAAGAGCTGCTCTCCTTTAAACTCCTGTTGCCCAGCTGAGCTCTGGGAGAGGGAAATGAATTGTTCTCCAGCTCACACATTACCAGCAGAATTATTAAGCAGCTTTCCTCTGCAGAGTTACTCTTGCAATACACTCTTGCTTTTTTTGTCTTCCTCCCCCCCATTCTTTTCTCATTTCCATGTTGGTGCTCAGGATGCATGGGGATAACCAAATATATCACTTCACCAAACTAAGGCTGTGCACCCATAACTGAGAGTTATTTTGTCCTTCAGAATTTCAACAACTCATTCTGATTTATGGGAAGAGTCAAGCTAAGCTTGAAGATTCAGCTTGGGCTCACAGAGTTCTAACTGTAGGCAAGACTTGTTGAGTCAACAATAAGAAGAAAAAAGCCAAACTATCTTTTTATTTGTAAATGGTGCCTTTTAAAAACAGCATACTGAGCGAGAATCAGTGTGCTGCAGTCTAATGCTGTTTGTGCTGAATGCCTTTTTAGAGGGGGTTGCATTTAGAGGCTAAAAATAAATATGTCAGTAGTCACCCTCAAATGTAAAACACTTCCATAGCCAGATTTGTTGACGTTGCTAATGTCTATCTACTACCTTTCAAGTAGACAATCTTACTGCAGAGAATACCAGAACTATACTATCAAAAAAAAATGAGTTGGATGGGATTTGATGTGAGAAAGGAGGGCTGAATGCTTTGTCTCAAACAGCTGCAGTTTAATATCTTGGGGTTTTTATCTTCAGGGCAGCCCTAGTTTGACAGGACACTTCTTTGGAAAGTTCTAGAGAGAAATCTGAAAGACAAAATAATCCCAAACTGTAGCAGCAAAATGGCCAAATTTGTCTTCAGCAGACTGGTTTTGTGTCCATGCATCTCCGACAGCATCTTATGTTCTATAAAGAAAAATTGGTGAGGCTAAATAGTTCCCCAACTGGAAGCTGGTGACAAAACTGAGTTATAAACAATGCCATCAGTATAGAGCAACTGGTGTTTGTAATATTCTTATACAAACAACAGAACCTAATTATCTTTATTCAGTAAATCTAGTTCAAATTTGGTCTATTAAATTTTATTAAATATTGAAAATAACTTAATAAACAAACATGATTGCTAATTTATTATTGATATTCATTATTAGGATGTTTGTAAAAATAATTAAAGGACAGGTCAGGAAAGATGGGGATGAATTAATTTCAGACACCAGTAGTGCTGTAGATCCTGGCTAGGCTGCCTTAACCATAGCTAATGAGGAGTTAAGGAGAGACCTGGGCTTGCAGGGAAGAGGTGGGGAAGGCAGCATCCACTCCAGAGCCATGTGCTCCACAGTTCTGCTCTCCTGGTCAGCTGACTGCAAGATTTTGGGAAGGCAGCAAACCAGGACAATGCAGTAAGGTGCAGGTTTGGAATATGGAGACAGGAAAACAGTGGTGGGAGTGGAGAGGGATTTGGGGAGATTGCAAGGAGTCCTTTAAGGAAACGGCATCCCAAATCTGGCCCAAACTATCCATTTTGAAACTCTGCCATCACCTGCAGTCATGTACTGGCATTTTACCAAGAAAAACACAGTGCAGGACAAAGGATTTTGGCAGGTTCCTATGTACATAAAATATTGTACAATGTGGGAATTCATCATGTGGCTTGCAATGACAAAAATGTTCTATTAGCCACCTTGGTACATGATCAAAAAGGGACTTGGTCTTATGTTCCTTACATACTGAGATGATGAAAAAGGAGGAACTCGGCTAATATTACTATTCTCATTAGAAAATAATAAGTAATAGTGCATACCACAAATAGAGCATCTCATCTTGAAAAAGACTGCAAGCACAAGATAGCTGATTAGGAGCTAAGTTAGTGCAGCTGCTCAAATCACCTGTCACAAGCATTTGATCTAATTATCATTATATATTTGTAACTTCTGGTGTGTCTTTCAGGAAGAAAAGGACAATTGTGGGGTGTAATTCCTTCCCTGTGAGAAGCTTCTGTAAGCATCTAGTTGCACGGAGCCACCCTAAAAAGCAGCAGCGAAACAGCCGATTTTACAATACAAGGGCAGATGCTCTGGACGGTAGAGGATGCTAGAGAAGAGGTAATTTTTCCCTGGCGCTTTCCTCTATTAGCATCCCCTCAGCCTTGCCTGCTATCAGCTCTAGCCAGCTCCTCCATCCAGGGGCTGCTTCAGGGAGCCCGAGAGCTGCGTGTGTTTTCCTATGTCTATACGCCCCTACTACTGCGTGCGTGTGTGCAGGTGCCTCGCTTTGCAACTTGAAATGGGTCCAGAAGTTTGCATGATCTCCCGCTAAGTACATCCGTGGAGTTGGGTAGCTCTCTGCTCGGTAGATCCTCTTCTTTCAGGCGCAGGAGGCAGAACACTGGGTTTTTCCCACCTCCTACCCTCTGCTGCGCCGCAGAGTGTTTCTGCCTCAGCTATAGTTTCCTTCCTCATTCCCACATGCACGGTTCAGGCGGCAACCTCGGGATGCCGGGGTATCTATCTGATTCTTTTTCCTTTTAGTCTATTTAAGGTATTTTAATTGAATCTGGCTTAGGAAAACAAACCCAAACCAATACACAAACCCCAAGGCTTCAGGACTAGATCCGTCTTCCCCCAAACAACAAATGGTTAAACAAATAACGAGCTGTCAAATCAACCATCACCAAACGAATATGCCAAAAAAACAGCGTCAGCGCTGCAGGAAACGGAAAAGTTTCTGCGCACAGAAGCTGGCCCCGGGGTACCGCGCGTAAAAGCAAGATCCAGGCGCGGGGTGCGGAGCGCGGCTCCAGCCCAGCTGCTGCGGGATTGGGGCTGCACCGGCGCACCCAGCCCTGCACCCCGGAGCGGCAGCCCTGGAGATGCTGCTGTGGACTTGGCTCTGTGCTGAGAAACGAATGGCTTCCGAGCCCCCACCCCCGTCTCCTCCCTCCCTCCTCCGCCCTCCCCCGGGTCCTGCGGGGAGGCGGGTTTAAGGTGGGTCGTGTGGCCGCGGTAACTTTCCTAACAGAGCCAAAGAGGCTCGCGGAGTCCCCTGCAGCAGCACCATCTCCTCGTCCTGGGCAGCGGCCTCGGCGCGGTACACCCGTGCGAGCGCCCCGGCTCTGCCGTTGCAGCCCGGGCTGCCGCTCGCCGCCTCCTGCCACCGCCTCTCTCAGCGTCGCGCTGCCGCCGCAGCCCCGTGGATCCGGCCCCGACGGCGGGGCTCTGGTCCCGCCGAGGTAGGTGCGAGTCGGGACAGGGGCTGGGAGTTGCGGGGAACGCGGCGCCGGAGCCCCAGTGACTGCAGCTGCGGCTCCCCACGCACCGCTTGCTCTTGGTGCTGTTGCTGCGGGGCAAGGAGCTCCCCCTGAACCCTTAGGCTGCAAAGGAGAAAGCCCCCTTCCTTGCTCCTCCTAGAACTCCCTAGGCATCCAGAACGAGCCGGGCGGAGGCAGTCTCTCTCCAGCTTTCCGTTTCTGTCCGTTACCTCGATCTTCTTTGGGTTCTCGTTGGTGGTTTTGGAAGTGCTGATTTAAGACATCCATGTGTTGGTAGTAAGACCTTATGGCTTTATTAGGACTCTCCCCTACCGCCGCTTCTCTCACAAGCCGCCTCCCCCCGCATGGTTTACTGAGGTGTTGTATCTGTACGAACTTTCTTCTGGCTGCAGGAGGCAGGTTTGCTCCCCGCGTGTCCCCGACCTCGGGTTGCTGCCGTGCGCGGGCAAGCGGAGTTCTCGGGCTGAAGCCTCACTGCCCGGGTTGTGGAGGCTTCCCCTGTGTGTACTCAGCAGTGCTCCCGATGAAGAGGATCTTTGGGGCAGGGAAGGGCACAAGGGAGAAGTTGTAGGACGCAGTGTGTAGCCTTAGTTTCTTGAGGTTGGGGAACTGGTGGAATCTCGCTGGTGCTACTCGCAGCTGCCAAACATTCCCTTTTTTATCATTTGAAGGACTTTGGCCATTCTGCCAGATGGTTCTTAAGAAAGAGAGGGAAGTTTGGGAGTATCAGGACATCAGGTCCCAAATTCAGTGCTCAGCTGGGATTCTCAGGTGATAGCACAACAGTGCTGGTGCCTGTGTTAGTTAATATTCACTTGCAAACACCTGGCCCAGAATGGTGGGCAGAGGATCAGTTTTCTGTGAAACTAAGGCAGCGATTTCTCAAAGTATCACAGGGATTGGAGAGTTAAATAAACCCCGTGATCCCAAAATCCTGCGAAGGCTGGGGTTAGCCTCCACCCAGCTGGAGGATAGTCCAGAGTTAACTAAAATGAAGTCTGCTGTTCATATCTTTATTACCTCCTGGTTTAGAGAACAAATATGTAACAAATAGATAAACTAGAATGTAGAAGCCTGTCTACCTTCAGTATTCTGTTAGACTGGGGGTGGAGGGAATGGGGATATGGGACTGTCCCCAGTCAGGCACTGTCCTGTGTTATGGTAATGGATATCTCAAGTCAGGTGGTTGGATGTTATGTCTCTTAACTTCACAATGAGAGGCTAAGTGATGCTGTGAAGGTTTTTCTGGGATAGCCAAGTCTCAGTCTGAATCCTTTCCATACTTGAACAACTCTTAGAGCACAGCCAGAGCTTTGCTGTCCCACTGTCTCTTTGGACCTTCCATACATGTCCACTTTGTTGTTAAATCCCATTAATTTTCCTTGTTGGAGTAAGGTCTGATGGATGGATTCTTTTAGGTGCATTGCCTTGCTTATAGTAGTGCTAAATAGAGGTGAGTAAATCAACTAAACAGTCTCATTGTATGTGCTCTTTTACAGGCTGAGGCTCTGGTCTTGCAAAAGCTTATGAACCAGTTTGTGTTTATGGGACCTGCTCTGGAGTCTGTTACAGTCAGTGTGAGATGTCTGAAGTGGCTTAGGGCAATAAATATGTGTTTAAGGGTAATTCTATATGTTTGCGAAGCTGTTTTCAATACAAGTGTATTTGTCAGTCACTTCTTTGTCAGTCACAACCTCTGGAGGCTTGTTCACTGTTCAAATTGTTGCACTTAGTTTTTCTTTTTCTTGTTAATATCTGAGTAAATTTGTAACAGGATTGTAAAAGTTCTACAATGTCCCAGCATCTGAAATATTGAAAATGGTTGCGTGGTCACTGCCTGTTTTCAAAATCAAACATCAGTGTTTTCTTTCTTACCAGTCACCCACCATCTACCACTTCAAAATTGATTTTGTTAAAAAAACCTTGACTGAGGTAAAATATATGCGCTATGGCTGCTTTATGTTGTTCCTGGTTTTTGCTTATTGAATAGGACTCAGTTGATCTCTTGTTTTTACAATTAAATATAAATTAATAGTCCAAAGTATCAACTAGAAGCCAATGATGCTTTCTTTCAAAAAGTGGCACATTTGCTATGAATGGGGCATTCAGCCATTTTCACTTTGAATAACCCATCATGCTTTCCATGCTAGGCAGCAGAATTAATATCTAAGCAAATGCATACATCAAAAATATAAGTCCCTGAAAACAGTTAATTATATTGGAACTGTGAATGTACGTTCAAGTACAGCCTCTATAATCCAATTTTCTGTAGCATGATCACGATTCCTGCAAACCTTTTCTCCTTGTCTGTGAAATAACTTCTGATTCTGTGCTTCTGAAAAGCATGTGCTTGGTTATTGTTTTCAAAACCATGTGATTTGAGCTACTATTTAAATATCATATTTACAATGCCACTTCGGTTGTTGAGCTTAAAAAGAGAAGTGCTGCATTCCATTGCATATTGAAAAGCTGCTGTATAATTACTACTTTTTGCAGTACTGCTGTGCAAATCTCTGGGGTGGAAATTTAAATGGAGACTTTATACAGTTCACAGTTACTTGATATAAAAGCTATAAACTCTTTTTCTTCAAGTGTGGGGGCTGCAGGCATTGGGGAGTGGGTAAGTGTGGTGCCTGTACTAGTTTTTACATTTGATTATTCCGACACATGTGCTTGCTGTTGGGCTTTGTGTTCTTCCAGGTGCATGGAGAGTGTATGGTGGGTTCCCACAAAACATCCATCTGTACCACCCGGGGTTTGAACTACCTGTTTGCACTTTGTTCTTACTGTCATCTTATGCAACTATCGGTTCTGGTTGCATCTTGCAGAGGAGGGCTGGGAGGCACAGGCTTGCTTATGCTTTTCCTCTCACCCTTGCATAGCTGTGTAAAGGAAATTCTGACACTTTAGGTCAGAATCTAGTGCAAATCAAAGCCAAAGTATCTGAGAATTTCTCTTCTGATGGTGATGAACTGTAGACTATGGGGTAGTAGTTGTGGGTTGGATTCAGGGCTCACAGGTATCTCAGGCTCTCCAGGATACCCTGCCTGATCTCTAGTTGCTGCTACACCAGCATTCAGTTGTCCTGTGAGACACACATTATATCTGGTGCCCAATGCAGGTATCTTGTTTTTCCTCAGGTGTCTCAAATTATCCTGTTAAGGCAACTGAGTCTTTCCCCAGCTGTCTCACAGGGACTAATAGGTAAAACCTGGGATCAAGAAAATGGTCCAAATTACCACTGGGAGTAAACGACTTACCCCTAGAAACGGTTGTTGAGATGCTAATGGAAAAGATGAAAAAATCAACCTGATTGTTCTGCACTGTGCAGCTTGACTGTGCTGCAGCAGCAATTGGTACTTTTCTTTGCACAAAACTGATTGAAACCTCAGTGAGGAAGTTCTGTGTGTTAAGGAGAGAGATAAAAAAGCCTGTGGAAAATTAAAAGAGTTACTCTCAAAGGAGACAAATCCCAGATAGATCAGTTTTAAAGTTTGCCAGATGAATTCAGCCACATAACAGTCCCATGGGATTCCTGCAGGTGATGTACAACTGGTGTATACGTATAGAGAGGAGTTTTGTTTAAGAGTTTACAAAATATGATCCTTACCTTGGGAATTAAAGGTTATGTACCAAATTCATGAAGAGACAATACAGTACAGCCTTTGGAAGATCAGACTCAGTACCTGTCAAATAGCATGCTACAGCCAAGAGAATGTGAGGTATTCAATCAGGATGTCAAAAGGGAAGTCCAGAGTTCTCCAAGATTAATGTTTTTACAAACACTTGTATATGAACAGTAGTGCTGAGCCCTTCAGGCAGTTTCTACTGTCTGGCTGCTGCTCTAAAGGGAAAGTATTGAAATTTGTATGAAAGCTTCTTTCTGAGAAAGGAAGAGAGAGACAAGATGAAGGTCACTGCCTAGCCTGCTCACAGAAATGCAGCAGGAAAGAAGAGTACATCGAATTTGCACCAGATTGCAAACAAGACTAGAACTGGTAGGCCTAACTTTTTCCTTTGCAGTAACTGGCACTGAAAAATTCTCCTAGTAACAGCCTGATTGTAAAGGCTAATGAATGAATAGGCATGAAGCTGAAATCAGATTCACTGCCTGGAAATGGAGTAAGACAGAGTAGCTGAGTGAAAATAGTTCTATGCTCTAACTTCATATACTTAATTTTCTAGGCTTTTCAACCCAAAACGTTTTATGAGCACTAATAGTCACTCTGAAAAAATATTTTAAAGGGTTAAAAAGGCACCAGAGAGCTGTCAGAATATGACAGCTTAAAGGTTATCCAAGAGTGAAACTTGTGAACAAGTCCCTTTTTTCCTTCTTTTTTTTTAGTATATATATTTAACTGCTACATATGAGTGGAAATGGGTCCAGGTTCTTTTAAGTTCAGCTATGCAGCTGAAGTTTTCCTTAACCTTTTTTTTTCTTGGATTCCTTGTTAAGATCTAGACTTTTGCTGACCTGTTTTTATCACAAGTCCTGTGGTATGTGATTTCTTGTGAGGTTTATGGAGTGTTGTGAAAGTGTGGAAGTCTTTCTCTGGAACAAAGAAGATAGGAAAAAGCTGTAGGGAAACTATAAGGAGTATTCACAGCTGCCTCCTTATGGAGCCAAAACAAGGAGGTAAATTAAAAGCTCCAAAGCTCTTAAAGCATGTAACCTATTTCTGTAGATTGTATGTCTAGGGAAAGTGATTTGAGAGC